AGACATTAAAATTAACTTGAATCAGGTTAAAAGCTACCGACCAAAAGGACAATATCCCAAGATAACCTATCCCGAGATAACCTGTACTGTGTTGGCTTAGGACAGTTGAGCGAGTATTGCATGTGCATGCCTCTGAATTAAGCCTGGCATCTTGAATTAATGACACGCTTATTAACCAATCATTTAGGTTGACCCGAAGAGTTAAAAATATTCCTCTTGCTAGAAGATCATTCACTAGAAGCATTTAGGAGGCTTGCATATTGTTTGACTATAATTTCCTTATTTATTTATTTATTTATTCATTCATTCATTCATTCATTCATTCAATTTACATAGTTGCCCCATCTCATATTCTTGAGTCTGGGTAGTTTACAATGAAAACATAAACAGTACCAATAAATAAATAAATAAAAACAATTAAACCATTAAAGGCATAGAATACATTCCCTGAGAGAACACAGCAATTCAAGGACAGTCCAGCCATTTTAAGGTCTCCATACTTCTCTCTGATCCTTAGGCCAAATGTCAAAGCGAGATATTTGAGCCCTTCTGGGAGGCCAGCAAGATTGGGAGTAGCCTATTGTGCTTTCACCCTGGCTTATTCACTTAAACAAATGGCTTTATTATGGTCAGAATTCCCAAACCTTGCAAATGTCCCCCCCCCCCGAGATTTGAAACATTTTTAGATTTGGGTGAACTGTTGTTATAGCTTAGTATGAGCATAAAGATACAATAAAATCCAAAGGCGCAGACCTTGGAGATGAGTATGAAGTGCAGACACTTTTTCAGTTGTGCCTCCTGATTTTATGCATCCAAATGTACTCCAAACTGGGCTACAGCCCTTGTAAATCTATTTTTGAATTGGTCACATTGCCAGTTGGAAGGAAAAAGAAATCCATTCCCTGCAGGCGTATCTCTAGTGGTTTTTCATAAAGATGAAAATGAATGAGATTGATAGTTGTGCCCTGGCATAATCCTGCCAAAGGATAGGGACAATCTTATTGTAGCAGATGGCTCCCTTCCCTGCATAAGAAATTAATTTTCTCTCCTATGCATTCCAGGCTAATACTGGCCGGATGGATAATACACAGGAAAAATGGAAAATGGCTATTTGCAATATGGCCTTGATTCAGGTAAGCAAGTCTACATTTTTTACGGAGATCTTTGGATAATACTAGCCAATAAGAACCCTTGGATAATAGAGCTGATACTCACCTATTACAGCTGATTATTAACTGTGTCACTTCAAAAATGGAAGTTCTGTTGTTTTTTCTTGTACAAAGCCTTGATGTTTGTTTGTTATTCTAATGAGGTGATTATTTATTCACATGTTTAGGGGAAAAGTCCAGGCATTTTATAACATTTCTGTTTCCAACTACTTTTTTTCTATATATTTTTTTTGTACAGAAATTAGGATGAAAGTCGGAGAAGCTACATATTACTTTTTGATTTGTGGCAGTAGGAGCTGTCAGTCTAGATTACAGGCCTGTCAAACTGGTGGCCCGTGGGCTGGATGCATCATGTGCAGGCCACGCCCGCCCCAAAGGCAAAAAATGTCATGATATGTCATGTGATGCGATCAAGTTTGACACTTGTGGTCTAGAAGTAACCAATTCCTACAGCCATAGGTTTGTTAGGTACTGTAAGAAAATGGAAAGATCTACACAGAAAGTTCCCTTCACTAGTCAAGCCAATGATAATTCCTATCACTTTTCAACTTACTTCCTGTCACTCAGAACTACAGTTAAGTTTAATAGTTTAAACTTAAATCCATCTAGCAATTCAGTAACATTTTAATTACCCAGAGTTAGATTTTCAAGTTTCATTTCTCTCAAATCAGTGCCCATTTACACATACCCAAAGTGTCGTGAAGTATAAAATACTGACAGTGGCTAAAAATGCTTATTAATTTATGACTGTGAGTATCTAATTACCTTGTTAAATATAGGATTTAATTGATTAGATGATGGAAAGGGAAATATGTGCTCTCCCGCCAAGTATTGTGGAAGTACAACTATCAGCATCCCAAGAGTGAATTGTTACAATTTACAATTCAGCATCCCCTGAATTATCATAAGTTAAGCGCTTAAAGTTACAATCAAATTATTCACAAATACTCCTTACTACCTTCTTGCATGAAGTTTCAATCTTTTTGTTGCTTAAGAAAACATTTGTCAGCTGACTAAAAATTGTTTCTGCTTGACAGGTACAGGCCACTGTGATAGGCCTTCTGGCAGCTGTAGCAGCAATCCTTCTAGGCGCACTCTCTAATGGGTATTTGGAACTGAACCATGCCGTTGTGTTGTGTGCCAGCAGCCTGACAACAGCATTTGTAGCTGCCTTTTTTCTTGGTGAGTTGTTTTTTTTTAACTCTGCTGATTCCTGGAATGCCAGTTGGCCCTGGCTTTGAAATTTTAATTCTGCTCCTCATACAAATAGTTTGCACTTGGTTCCTGGTCAGTATTTCATACCTGTTTGTAGACAGTGTGTATCCTTTCCTTGGGTAATCACCTAAATTGTATCAGTAATAAATAGGAGTATGAAAATACATTACCATATACATTAAATAGTAACCTGTTCCAGGCATCTGTCCTTCTAATGGGCCAGACCAGACCAATACTCCATCTGGTTTACTTGAAAGTATATTGCTTGAGATGCAACCTCCTCAAAGCCATGGATGCAATGGAAGACTTCAGTTACAAGATTCCGTGGACCAGCGGGGCAATTAAATAGTTGAATGAAGAGTAACTGTATTAATGCTACTGAATTTAAATAGTTGAATGAAGAATGACTGAATCAGTCTTCCAATAGTTGAGGGGCTGTCACAGCATGGAGGAGGGTCAACCTGTTTTCGAAAGCACCTGAAGGCCAGACAAAGAATAATGGATGGAAACTGACCAAGAAGATATTCAACCTGGAAATAAGGATAAATTTTCTGGCAGTGAGANAAGCACTGTAAAGAGGTATGTAAGTTTAAGTGCTGTTGCTAATAAGAGGCATGAGGGATAAAAATTGGGAATTCTACCTATAAGCATGGTATTTTGGAACAATTCCTACAAAACGTCTTCCATTTAAATGTGGATTTATTATAAATATGCAGCTGCAGGGAAGCACTCTATGAGTTCAAACACTAATCAAAAGTAGAAGAGTACCATCTCTTGTCCGCAAAGAAAGTGATGCAGCCTGGGAAGAGCAGCCCTGTTCTATCCATTGTGTCAGCCCTTTAAGATTGATTACACTCAAACACCAAATAGTAGAATTGCAGTAACAAAACGTTGCATCTCTGAATATGTCTCCTCGTCTATGTTTAGAATAGAAAACTAGGGAGGGTCAAGTCTAAAATGGTTTCTCAAATTACATTCCTGCTTTGGGTCTCTTATCTGACCATTGCCTTGACTGCAGCTCTTTCTCTTCTTCAAAAGGGTTATTCTAACACACACACACACCTCTTTCAAGAAAAGCAGTGCAGTATGGGAAGCAACGTAACAAGTTTCCATCCATTGTGTCAGCCATTCAATGTGGAACTGACAAAGAAACCAGTGGCATATAGTTCAGACTATCTCAGGTGCAACAACCGGATACACTTATGAAAAGTCCTAGTCAGCAACTTTATTGTTTTCACAATAAATCACAATAACAACCAAATCAGATTTCATGGAACTTAAAGGGGTGTCTGGGTCAAACTTTTTTTGGCTGCGCAAGGACGCAAGGCTAATTCCCTTCTTGACCACTCCTCCCTGCCTGCCTGGCTGGGAGTTTCCCAACAGTTGCCCTTTTAATTACAAGAATTGTAGTAATAAAATATTGCAAGCCTCATTGTGCTCTCCCCCACCATTTTATCTTCATGTGAACTCGACAAGGGCTTGTCTGAAAGATTTTCTCAAATTAGTTTCTTGGCCTGGACTCGAGCCCCTCTTATCTGACCATTACCTTGGTAGGGGCACTTCCTCCTGACCTTCAAGTCCATTCTTCCTCCTTCTATTCTCTGGCTCATAAAGGAATGAAATTTATTGTCATCCCCCCCTCCCTTCCCCAAAGAATCCTGAGCGCCAACTGCCAGTTCTCCTCCTGAGCTGACCGTTCTTCTGTGTCCCCATTCATGGCCAGGATTTTCTGGCTATCTAAAGGAACAAAAAGACTACGATTGTTTTATTCTCTGTATCTGTGTAGAAAGCTAATGTCTGAAGGTGACTTTCCAAGCTTCTTTCTCAATTAATGCTGGTTATAGGACTTACAGAATTGAAGTCCAGTTTTCTTCAGCCTCCTCTGTACCTCCTTAGTGTGGGAAAGAAAGCAGCTAAGCAAGCAGAGTTCTTGGATTATCCTCAAAATGTTATCAGAGAAAGCTTTTTTTAGATCTACCAGCATGCCTCAGGAAGATTGCTGGTTTTATTTGTAGTAACCAGACTACTATCGAATTGATTGATTGGTGTGGTGCAGACAATGTTGGGGTGGGGTTAAAAACTGACTCCAAAGACTGGGTTTAAATCTTTTTCGGTTCTGCAGCATCTAAATGGCTCTACATTCATCATGGACTTCCAGTTTAAATTGCCTCACCATGTTATGAGGATATGTGTCATTCAATCTAAAGCATTTGGAGAAAGCTCACATGGGAAAAGATAGACAAAGGGACAGAGAGTAAGTTTTATGCTTTGAAACTTCTGCTCATCCAGATTCCAGGGTAGTGCCACCAGATGTGAAATAACACATAATGGAAAAAAAATGATTCTCTAATTCTGGAAATTCCTGATTCATTTTAATTAACCAAGCATTTGAATTTTGTCATTTATTGTTGTATCCTTTTTATGAAAACATAGGGCTGCAAAGGAGATTTACTTACTGGTCTCGAGCAAGCAAAGAGCATCCAAATAATTATTGCATTGTCTATGACAGCCACCGTCCTTCTTTCAAGAGAATTGATCAAAGCAGGAAAATCCCAAATTTAAATGTTTACATAACTGAGTAAATTACAAGTTTTGTGAAGAGACAAAGCTGAAAGAGTTGCACTAGGTAGTTTTTTTTTTAATGCTTGTGTGCTGAATGATTAGTATTAATCTGCCGTGGATTGTACTGTTTTCTCTTTAAAAAAAAAAATAAAGTTCTGAATAGCCCATGGCAGATTTTCAGGACAGGAAATAAAATGCAACAGGAAAAGTACTGGAAGAGAATAGAAATGACCTTAAATAAGTTCTGCAGAGATTGTTATCAGGGCTTTTGTATCTGAATTTGAAATGATGACAGCAGATAAGGGCGCTGGCTTTTGAACCTCATCGGTGTTCATTCAGGAGTTCTGAAAGTCAGTCATTAAGAGAGAGAGACTACCTATTTTCTAAACTTGCGTACCCAAAGCAAAGCTAGGAAATCAGAAGAAAATAAAGGATGAAAGTGCCTTTTAGCTAGTGCAGCCTCATAGATTTTCTCCCTTACTTTTCCCTCTGAGCTCTTCTGTAATCTCTGCATTTGTAGTTAGGATTAAGCTCCTGTTCCTAATGACCTTTCTTCACCTTGAGGAAGCCAAAAAAGGAAAAAGTAAACTGAAGTAAACTTTCTCCTTTGCCTTAGAACAGTGAGAAAGATTCAGCGTCACGCAGGGTGAGCCTTGATGGCGCTGTGACTATTTCAGCCATGCAAGCTTATCTTTTCAATTACTGTCTTTGTAAGTGGAGGAGAAAGGACATAAGTGACTGAAGTATTTTAAGCAATTCCAGCACAACCTGCCCCTCTTTATGCTGGTAACTCTTTAGTGTCCCAGCTTCAGCCAGTCTTTCTGGTTTTCAGCCAGGTCGTGATAGCTGGAAACTGACTCAAAGCATATTGAAAACCGAGCTCAGCTAATCTGAATGCATTTTGGAAACTAACCTTGTTCTGCCTCGGAAGAAGAAAAGGACAGCAGATTTCGAAACACGTGATGGGGCAACTGTGATCTAAAGGTGCCTTGGAACTCTGACTGAAGACTGAAGACTACTCCGATTTCTGGATTTCCTTTTGTCCTCTTCTTCTTTAGCATGGCTTAATGGCATTCAGTAATGGTGGTCACTGAGCTGAAATTGGAGCTGTGCTTCCGGGGGAAGAAACTCAGAGGTTTTACCTGTAAGTTTTTCAGATCATCCAGTGGATTCCTTCCAGAAACAGGCTTCTCCATTGCATCACAGATCATCGGGCCATATATACTGGCAGGTTTAGGCCTGGTAGCTGCTGGTTTGGTGATGGATATTCTTCAAGTATGTATGTTCTTTCAACTTCCTTGGTAATGAGGGGTAGGCTGACTGTGAGCATCTATTTTTAACATAGCTAAGTGAGAGCTAAGTGCAGTATTTGTTCTACCTACGGGGGCGGGATGTCTTTTGTGAGAATGTCAGGGCTCTTTAAAGAGTCTCGTGGACAGACTGAGTTGGATGAAAGACTCTTATTCACGGCCCACCTGTTCTTTCTAAAGTGTCCTGGAGAAGATATACTAGGATTGAACTGATCCAAGAATGTTCTCATCAGCCACAAGCCAGAATATGTTATTTTTGTGACAAGGAAACTGCTCATGTTGCCTACAATATAGGTGGGAAATCCCGGCAGAGATTATTGGGGAACACCTGGGTTACTGCAACTCCTGGTCCTCATTAAATTTTTTTCTTATAGGGTAGTCTAAGCTCTTAGACCAATTCTATCTACTCTCTTTCTTTAAATTTTTGTTTTGTTTTGTTTCCTTTTCAACTGACATCCTAGAAACTAGAGCGTTCTATCATTCCTAAGAATATATTTTTGTTGTCCTTCTGGGGTCATTTGAAAGGTGTGTGTTTGTGGTTTTGTGTGTGTGAGAGAGCATTATCAGCCTGAATCAGTCCATTGCAGATTGAAAGCCTCCTCGCTGAAGTTTAATTTATGGAGCATAATCTATCTCAGGTAGTCCTCAGTTTACAACCACAAATGAGCTTAACATTTATGTTGCTAAGTGAGACATTTGCTAAGTGAGCTTTGCCCCATTTTGCAGCCTTTCTTGCCACAGTTGTTAAGTGATTCAGTGCACTTGTTAAGTTAGTAACACAGTTGTTAAGTGATTCAGTGCACTCGTTAAGTTAGTAACACAGTTGTTAAGTGAATCTTGCTTCTCCGTTGACATTGCTTGTTAGAAGCTCACAAAAGGTGATCAAATGACCCTGGGACATTACATCGTCATAAATATGCACCAGTTGCCAAGCATCCAAATATTTGACCATGTAACCATGGGGATGCTTCAATGGCTGCAAGTGGGAACAATGATCCTAAGTAACTTTTTTTCAGTGCCATTGTAACTTTGAATGGTCACAAATTAGCAAATGGCTGTAAGTCAAGAACTACCTGTATGCTAGTGCAGTGAGTT